AACCTGGCTTTGGAATATAGCATTTGCAGAATGATGATCGAGTCAATAACGGCTGACGACACCAGAGGATGGTGATGATTTTGTGATTTTATTCTGACGACCTGGCTTTTGTAATTGTATGATATTGTATGATCTGTATTTTAATGTATTTTGTATTAATGTATTATGATGCTATTATGTTTACTATATTTGTGTTGAATTTTCTGCTGTTAGCCGGCCTGAGTCCCTCTTCGGAGGTCGAGAAGACCGGGTTATAAAAGCTCTAAATAAATAAATAAAACAAATAAATAAACACACACACACTCACTGATTCCTTGCATGCTCCAACAGTCCTCCACAATTCACATTTTCAGCAAAGTAACGGAATACTTGGAGATCTTTTCACCGAACTAATAAAGCAACAGATCCTATCTGATCTTGAAAGATAAGGAAGTTTGGCCCTGGCTAGTATTTGGATGGGAGACTGCTAATGAACATGAGGTGCCATAGCTTATCTTTCAGAGGCAGGACCTGTACTTCAGATTTTTCCTTGTCTCAGAAAACCCTATGAAATGCTTGAGTCCCATAAAACCGCCAGGCAACTCGAAAGCACAAACAAACATACACAATAAATGGTACTATTCTTGGAATGAAATGATGAAATGATGAAACTCTGCGTTCCAGAACAGGTTATGCAGACTCTGTAAACGATGGAACAAGTCTTTCAGTTTGCTAATAGGGACATTTATTACACTGCAGTCTTTTACTCACTGGCAAGGCAGCAAACCACATTGAAGCCACTAAGGCTCGTTTCCAAGTTGGTTTGGACAAGATTGCAATGTTAATGCCCAAAGTATTGAAACTCCAATTGAGCTCCCGGTGGCACAGTGGGTTAAACACTTGTGCCAGCAGGACTGATGACCAACAGGTCAGAGGTTCAAATCCAGGGAAAGCACGCATCAGCTCTCTCTGTCAGCTCCAGCTCCGCATGCAGGGACATGAGAGAAGCCTCCCACAAGGATGGTAAAACATCAAAACATCCAGGGGTCCCTTGGGCAACGTCCTTGCAGACAGCCAATTCTCTCACATCAGAAGCAACTTGCAGTTTCTCATGTTGCTCCTGACATGAAAAAACAAAAAGAGATCCAGAATGAGAGGCCAGAAAGGACCCCAAGTGGGTTCTGCTTTGCCTTGAGAGGCCAAGGCCTAGCCTTGTGCTGCTGGCGAAGAGAGAAGGTAAAGAGGGAAGGGAGGCAAGAAGGTTTAACTGCCACCTCCTCCTCTTCCATGGGCTCTCCCTCTGCTCACAGAGTCGCTCTCCATGGTCCTGGGAAAGACCACATTGCTGGAATCTCTTTCTACTGCCCAGAGAATTATTGGTTGCCTTCTTCCCTCTTTGAAAGTATTCCCGCTGCCTTAAGAAAGCTCAAAATATTCTTAAGGATTCATCTTACCCTTGATATTCCTTTTTGAATGATTTTGGTCATGCCAGGAGTGACTTGAGAAACTGCAAGTCGCTGCTGGTGTGAGAGAATTGGCCGTCTGCAAGGACATTGCCCAGAGGACGCCAGGATGATTTGATGTTTTTATCATCCTTGTGGGAGGCTTCTCTCATGTCCCCACATAAGGAGCTGGAGCTGATAGAGGGAGCTCATCCACCTCTCCCCGGATTCGAACCTGTTGGTCTTCAGTCCTGCCAGCACAGGGGTTTAACCCACTGTGCCACCGGGGGCTCCTTTTGAATGATGACCATCTGGCAGATGGTACAGGGTGATAAAAACAAGGACAAATAGGCTGAGAGATAGCTTTTATCCTAGAATTGTGACTATGGTTTCACACTAATAGGAGCTGAGCAATAGTGATTAGAATGTGGAAGGATGAGTGTTTGTTTTTGTAATTCTACATATATAATGTGTCTTGGGGATGGCATTTAATTTCGCTGTACGGTGTACAATGACAATAAAGTTATTCTATTCTATTTTATTCTAAGGCAGTGTTTCTCAACCTGGGGGTTGGGACCCCTGCGGGGGTCACAAGAGGGGTGTCCAAGGGATCAACAAAGACCATCAGAAAACACAGTTTATTTGTTGTTCATTGGGTTCTTTGTGGGAAGTTTGGCCCAATTCTATTGTTGGTGGGGTTCAGAATGCTCTTTGATTGTAAGTGAACTATAAATCCCAGCAACTACAATTCCCAAATGTCAAGGTCAATTTTCCACACACTCCACCAGTGTTCACATTTGGTCATATTGAGTATCCATGCCAAGTTTGGTACAGATCCATCATTGTTTGAGTCCACAGTGCTCTCTGGATGTAGGTGAACTACAACTCCAAACCTCAAGGCCAATGCCCACCAAACTCTTGCAGTATTTTCTGTTGATCATGGGAGTTCTGTGTGCCAAGTTTGGTTCAAGTCCATCATTGATGGAGTTTAGAATGCTCTTTGATTGTAGGCGAACTATAAATCCCAGCAATTACAACTCCCAAATGACAAAATTAATCCCCTTCCCAACTCCTCCAATATTCCCACAAGGATAGTAACACATCCAGGTGTCCCCCAGGCAACTTCCTTGCAGATGGCCAATTCTCTCACACCAGAAGCGACTTGCAGTTTCTCAAGTCGCTCCTGACATGAAAAAAAATTGAAACTCCACTATGATATTCAAACTACATTAATGGACATAATTCTTTGGGTTAATTCACATGCAGAGACACATATTGCTAGGCTTTATTATCAACCGTCTTTTTTCCTTTTTGCATAGTTCAATTTCCTCATCCCATTTGCATTTATTCTCCTCTCTAAAATTGATCCCTATTTCTTCATCGACTATCTCATAACTGTACGTCTCTATAACAACTGTAATCATATCTCCCATAGGATATTCAATTAATTATAATAATAAAGCAGTTGAAATGCGTGGCTGCATTAAACGGTGAATGACTCTTTGGTTGGCCCAGGCATCAGCTGCAGAGGAAGGTTAATGGGAGAATCTGTAACGCATGAATCTGTTATGACTCACATCTCCCCATCTAGATGAAGCCAACTGGAATGTGGGAGGCATTTACACTGCAGAATCAATGCAGTTTGAATCCACTTTAACTGCTATGGCTCAATACAATGGAATCATGAGAACTGTAGTTTTATAAGGTCTTCAGTCTTCACTGCCAAAGAATGCTGTTGCCTCACCAAACTACAACTCCTATGATTACATAGCATTGAGCCATGGCAGTTCAAGTAGTGTCAAACTGCATTAATACTACAATGTAAAAGCAGGTATAGGTCCAGGGGCCAGATGTGGCCCCTTGAGCTCTTTCATCAGGCCCTCCTCTCTCTCACCATCCTATCTTTCCTTCCTTCTCTCTTCTTCCTTGCCTCCTTCCTCACTTTCCTCTTTCTCCCTTCCTTCTTCCTTCCCTTCTACCCTTTCATCCTTCCCTTTCTCCTTCTTCCTTCCCTCTTTCTTCTTCCTTCCTTCCTTCCTTCCTTCCTTCCTTCCTTCCTTCCTTCCTCCCTCCCTCCCTCCCTTCCTTCCTTCCCTTTTGTCTTTCCTCCTCCCTCTTTCCTTCCCTTCTTTCCTTCCTTCCTCCTTTTTCTTCCTTCCTCCTCTCTTCCCTTCCTCCTTCCCTTCCTTCCTTCCCTATCTCTCCTCCTCCTTCCTTCCTTCCTTCCTTCCTTCCTTCCTTCCTTCCTTCCTTCCTTCCTCCCTCTCTCTCTTTCTTTCTTTCTTTCTTTCTTTCTCTCTCTCTCTTCCTTCCTCCACCTCTTCTCTCTTTTTCTCTTTCTTTCTCTCCCTTCATCTTTCTTTCCCCCTTCATCCTTCCATCTTTCCTTCCTTCCCTTTCTTTCTCCTTCCTTCCTTCCTGCCTTCCTTCCTTCCTTCCTTCCTTCCTTCCTTCCCTTTTGTCTTTCCTCCCTCCATTCCCTTCCACCTTTCCTTCCTTCTCTTCCTCCTTTTCTTCCTTCCTTCTTGCTTTCCTTTCTCATTCCCTTCCTTAATTTCCTCTTTCTCCCTTTCTCTTTACTTCCCTTCTACCTTCTCGTCCTTCCTTCCTTCCTTCCTTCCTTCCTTCCTTCCTTCCTTCCTTCCTTCCTTCCTTCCTTCCTTCCTTCCTTCCTTCCCTCAGGCCCTCATCTCTTTCACCATTCTATTTTTCCGTCCTTCTCTCATTCTTTCTTCCTTCCCTCTTTCCCTCACTTTCCTCTTTGTCCTTTACTTCTTCCTTCCCTTCTACCCCTTCATCCTTCCATCTCTCCTTCCTTCCCTCTCTTTCTCCTTCCTTCCTTCCTTCCTTCCTTCCTTCCTTCCTTCCTTCCTTCCTTCCTTCCTTCCTGCTTGCCTGCCTGCCTTCCTGCCATCCATCCTTCCTTCCTTCCATCCATCCTTCCTTCCTTCCTTCCTTCCTTCCTTCCTTCCTTCCTTCCTTCCTTCCTTCCTTCCCTTTTGTCTTTCCTCCCTCCCTCCATTCCTTTCCACCTTTCCTTCCTTCTCTTCTATCTTTTCTTCCTTCCTTCTCTCCTCCTTTCCTCCTTCCCTTCCTTACATTACTCTTTCTCCCTTCTTCCTTCCCTTCCACCTTCTCATCCTTCCTTCCTTCTTTCCTTCCTCCCTCCCTCCCTTCTTTTTTTCCTTTCTCCCTTTCTTCTCGGGGATGTTTACCTGGGAGAAGAGAAGGTTGAGAGGGAATATGTGAACCATGTTTCAAGATATTGTTGAAGGCTTTCATGGCCGGAATCCTCACTACCTCTGCGGATGCCTGCCATAGATGCAGGCGAAACATCAGGAGAGAATACTGCTGCAACATGGCCATACAGCCCGAAAAACCGACAACAACCCATGTTTCAAGATGTAAAAGGGTGTCCCATTGACAGTTATGTAGATTAATTTTAATTAATATAATTAAGTCGAGGTGCATTTCTACAAATCACATTTGCTGATCGTCATCTGACTGCTTGCATCTTCAAAGAATGCATGACTCCCCGTGTCTCAAAAAGCCATCTTGCCATTTGTTTTGACCCTGCAGCATTCTCCAGTGAGGCTCATGCTTTCCTCGGCTCCAAGATGACCACCCCTAATTTTGCCACAGCGTCCAGTGTATCATCATTGCGTTGACTCTCCAGGAGCACATGCTTGGCAAGACCCTTCCATCGTGAGTATGAACGGATTAATTTCCTTATGGTAAATTGAAAAAAGAGGTTCTGTAACAGGAGGTGGAAATGCAGCCTCTTTGGCTAGCCCACAGTGAAGTCGGATTAGAGTATGCATGCAAGCTTCTCAGATTCAAAAAACACTTTATAAGGAAGGGGTTTAAAAGTGAATTTGAACATTGAGCTAATTCCTTTTCATCCAAGACGGTGTCTCTTGTCTCTTGGCACCTGTCTGACCTTCTCTGACCAGTAGCCATATATGGTGCAGTGGGTTAAACCACTGAGCTGCTGAACTTGCTGACTGAAAGGTTGGCAGTTCGAATCCCTTGAGTGGGGTGAGCTCCCGCTGTCATGTATAGTTGCCCCCCCCCAATGGTGCAGCGGGTTAAACTGCTTAGCTGCTGAAGTTGCTGACTGAAAGGTTGGTGGTTCGAATCCAGGGAGTGGGATGCACTCCTGCTGTTATGTAAGTTCTCCCACCCCCGATGGTGCAGCGGGTTGAACCGCTGAGCTGCTAAACTTACTGACTGAAAGGTTGGTGGCTCGAATCCAGGAGTGGGATGAGCTCCTGCTGTTATGTATAGTTGACCCTCCCCGATGGTGCATTGGGTTAAACCGCTGAGCTGCTGAACTTATTGACTGAAAGGTTGGCGGTTCGAATCCAGGGAGTGGGGTGAGCTCCTGCTGTTATGTATAGTTGCCCCCCCCCCCCGATGATGCAGTGGGTTAAACTGCTGACTGAAAGGTTGGCAGTTCGAATCCCTTGAGTGGGGTGAGCTCCCGCTGTCATGTATAGTTGCCCCCACCCAATAGTGCAGCGGGTTAAACCGCTGAGCTGCTTAACTTGGTGACTGAAAGGTTGGCGGTTCAAATCCAGTGAGTAAGGTGAGCTCCTGCTGTTATGTATAGTTGACTCCTGATGATGCAGCGGGTTAAACCGCTGGGCTGCTGAACTTGCAGACTGAAAAGTTGATGGTTTGAATCCACGGAGTAGGGTGAGCTCCTGCTGTTAGCCCCAGCTTCTGCCAGCCTAGCAGTTCAAAAACATAGGTACCATTTCTGTGGGAAGGTAATGGCATGCCATACAGTCATGCTGGCCACATGAGCTTGGAGGTGGTTACGGACAACGCCGACTCTTGGGCTTAGAAATGGAGATGTGCACCAACCCCCAGAGTTGGACTCAACTAACTTAATGTCAAGGGAAACCTTTATCTTTGCCTTATATGTATAGTTGGGTTTCATACTCATGCTTTTGATTATTCACAATTATAAAATTTACCACCTCCCAAAGTTGTGCTTGCCAAGTAAACATTCAAATGACAGCCGCATCCTCAGGAGGAATGTCTGCCCTGTTCCACCTGGTATTTTCATTCTTTTCCAAAAGGAAACAGAGACTCATGACATGCAGGTTAGGAGGAGAATCATAGAATCGTAGAGTTGGAAGAGCAATGAACAGGGGATTGCACTCCATAGCCTTTGGGACCCTTTATACTTTTATGATTCTATGATTCAATTTCCCCTAAGAGCGTTTGCTTCTCTTTTTCTCTCTGAAGCAGATGAGTGACATTTGGCTTTGGGTTCGTATGTGTTGTCAAAGGGAAAGACCAATAATGGCATTGAAAGCTTGGGGCAGGAAGCCATGCATGACCTTGAGATAAGAGTGCATCCCGCTCGCTATGGACATTGAGTCACTTAATGGAACATAGCTTGAAAGGCCACAATTAAAAGGGACCGGGCCATTTCTCAGTTATTTTCTCATGTAACGTGGCTCTGGTTAGGGAGCAATGGCTTGCCCATGGTAGGGATGGGAAAATATATAAAAATATTTTATTTATTAAATTAATAAATATACCCTCAAATACTCAAAAATGATTCTCAAGCACCCTAATAAGGATAATCCTGGACTGATATGAAGCTTTACAGTTTAACTGCATTAGATGAGTCTACACTGACCATATAATGCAGTTGCAATGTAGACGCGGCCAGATTTGAGCTGGGCAAAATAAAGCCACATTAGCCGAACATTTGGCAGGAAGCAACCAAGCTTTGAAGCTGCAATACTATTCACGAACAACACTCAGAAAACATGGGAACTCCAGACAGGAAACAATCAGGGCCAGCTAACACCTGCCAACAAAGGATTCCCCCAGGAAGGAAGCAGCCAAGCTTTGAAGCTGCAAGGCCATTCAATGCTAATCAAGGTGTCCAATGATTGTCAAGCATCAGGAAACCCTGATAAGGATAATCCTGGACTGATATGAAGCTTCACAGTTTAACTGCATTAGATGAGTATACACTGACCATATAATGCAGTTGCAATGTAGATGCGGCCAGATTTGACCTGGGCAAAATAAAGCCACATTATCCGAACATTTGGCAGGAAGCAGCCAAGCTTTGAAGCTGCAAGACTATTCAAGAACAACACTCAGAAAACAGGGGAACTCCAGACAGGAAACAATCAGGGCCAGCGAACACCTCCCAACAAAGGATTCCCCCAGGAAGGAAGCAGCCAAGCTTTGAAGCTGCAAGGTCATTCAATGCTAATCAAGGTGTCCAATGATTCTCGAGCATCAGGAAACCCTGATAAGGATAATCCTGGACTGATATGAAGCTTCACAGTTTAACTGCATTAGATGAGTCTAAACTGACCATATAATCCAGTTTTAATGTAGACACGGCCAGATTTGAGCTGGGCAAAATAAAGCCACATTAGCTAAACATTTGGCAGGAAGCAGCCAAGCTTTGAAGCTGCAAGACTATGCAAGAACAACACTCAGAAAACAGGGGAACTCTAGACAGGAAACAATCAGGACTAGCTAACACCTCCCAACAAAGGATCCCCCAGGAAGGAAGCAGCCAAGCTTTGAAGCTGCAAGACTATGCAAGAACAACACTCAGAAAACAGGGGAACTCTAGACAGGAAACAATCGGGGCCAGCTAACACCTCCCAACAAAGGATTCCCCCAGGAAGGAAGCAGCCAAGCTTTGAAGCTGCAAGGCTATGCAAGAACAACACTTAGAAAACAGGGGAACTCCAGACAGGAAACAATCAGGGCCAGCTAACACCTCCCAACAAAGGATTCCCCCAGGAAGAAAGTAGCCAAGCTTTGAAGCTGCAAGGCTGATCAATGCTCATCAAGGTGGCCAATTGCAATATTCACATTGACAAGAGTTCTTTCTCCTATCCTGGACATCATTCCATAGATATATAAACCTCACTTGTCTAGTTTCCAACAAACCTCACAATCTCTGGGGATGCCTGCTATAGATGTGGGTGAAATGTCAGGAAAGAATGCTTCTGGAACATGGCCATACAGCCCAGAAAACTCACAGCAACCTAGTGATTCTGAACATTTGTGCCATGTTTATTACCATGCTTCAATTGGCCTTTCCAAGAATAATTTCAGTAAACTCTTTCAACTTCATTTTCATCATTTCCCCTCCAAAACAATTACAGTCCTGGTCCAATATGTGAACAAATCTTGACTGTTGTCTGAAATTTCTTTTGCCCATTTGGGATATTGGTTTTGCGATTTCATCATCGCATTCATAAATAACCACTTTTATGAGCGTCTTTTGAGGAAGTGGCTGAAGCTTTCCAGAATGCGGAGCATGAATCATGATGTGCCCAAATGGTTCTTTGCAATCACGCTGATCAGGCTGTCGAGAAACACGGTGCAATTTGAGGAGGAATATTTTTGAAAGCTTTGGCCTTTGCTTCAAAGAGTGTTTCACTCCCTCCTTGCACAAATGACAATTTTCCTAAATGTAAATGCATGCTGTTTCTGCTTTTAAGAAAGTTTGCTGAAAGATGACCAGAACCTCTCTATCAAAGAGTGCTTGGTGCCCCACCAAATTACACATCTTGTGATTCCATAGTATTAAGCTACAGCAGCTTAAGTGCTGTCAAACTGCATTAATTCTACAGTGTAGATCATGTATAGGCAAACCCAGGTCCGGGGGCCAGATGTGACCTCTTGGGCTCTTTTCTCAGTCCCTCCTCTCTCACACCATCCTGTCCTTCCTTCCTTCTTTTTTTCCTTCCTCCTTCTCTCCCTCCCTCTTTCTCCCTTCCTCCTTCCTTCCTTCCACTTTTCTCTTCCTCCTCCTCCTTTCTCCCTCTCTCTCTCTTTCTCCTTCCTTCCTTCTTCCCCTTTTGTTTTTCCTTCCTTTCCCTTCCTCCCTTTCTTCCTTCCTTCCTTCCTTCCTCCCTTCCTTCCCTTTGGTCTTTCCTTCCTTCTCCCTTCCTCTTCCTCTCTCCATCTCTCTCCTTCCCTTCCTTTCTTCTTCTTCCCTTCCTTCTCCTCCTTTCCTCCTCTCTTCCTTCTCTTCCTTCCTTCCTTTTCCTTCTTCCATTTTCTTCCTTCCTTCTCCCTTCCTCCTTTCATTCTCTTCCACCCTCCCTCCCTTCCTTCCTTCTCTTTTGTCTTTCCCTTCTTCTCCCTCCCTCCATTCTCTTCCTCTCTTCCTTCCATCCTTCCTTCCTTCCTTCTTTCTTTTCTTCCTTCCCTTTTGTCTTTGCTTCATTCTCCCTCCCTCCATTCTTTTCCATTTCTTCCTTCTTCCTTCCTTCCTCCTTCCCTTCCTTTCCTTCTCCCTCCCTCCTCCCTTCTCTTTTGTCTTTCTTCTTCTCCCTTCCCTTCCTCTTCCTCTCTCCCTTCCTTTCCTTCCTTCCTTCCTTCCTTCCTTCCTTCCTTCCTTCCTTCCTTCCTTCCTTCCTTCCTTCCCTTTTGTCTTTGCTTCATTCTCCCTCCCTCCATTCTTTTCCACCTTTCCTTCTTTCCTTCCTTCCTTCCTTTCCTTCTCCCTCCCTCCCCTTCTCTTTTGTCTTTCCCTTCTTCTCCCTTTTCTCTTCCTCCTTCCTTCCTTACCTTCCCCTTTCCTTCCTTCTCTTCTTTTCTTCCTTCCCTTTTGTCTTTGCTTCATTCTCCCTCCCTCCATTCTTTTCCACCTTTCCTTCCTTCCTTCCTTTTTTCCTTCTTCTCTCCTCTTTCCTTCTTTCCTCTTTCCTCTTTCTTCTTTCTTCCTTCCTTCCTTCCTTCCTTCCTTCCTTCCTTCCTTCCTTCCAGCCTTCTCTTCCTCCTTTTCTTCATTCCTTCTTTCTCTTTTTCCTTCCTTTTTACCTCCTGGGAAATATTTGACTGGGAGAAGAGAAGATCGAGAGGGAACATGAGAACCATGTTTCAAGATTTCAAAGGATGTCCCCTTCCTGCTGATACAGTACCTATTGATCAACTCACATTGCATGTTTTTGAACTGCTAGATTGGCAGCAGCTGGGGCTAACAGCGGGAGCTCACCACTCTCCCCGGATTCGAACTAGCAACCTTTCGGTCAGCAAGTTCAGGGGCTTCAGATGCAGAATATCTGAACACATTCACATAAAAGTTTATACCTGCGAGATATATATATATATATATATATATATATATATATATATATAGCATTACATTACAATGGGAATTTATTCAGCCCTATCGAGATGGTTTTCTAAATTCAACTTTTCGAATTTTATACATCTGTCATTGGCAAAACAACACACCGATGCTGCAAAGCACATCTACACACACTTTGATTTCAGCAAGCTAGGAAAACTCTCCTAAGGCTGGTGATAGTCATTCAGTCAGGTGCTCCGCATCATCTGACTCACGCAGCAGCCCAGCGCTTGCATCTCCATCTGTCTATCGCCTCTGCCTTGCTTCATTATATCTGGTTTCCATGGCAGCGCCATCCTTTTCCAGGGGTTTCTCTATATGTCACCTATGCTCTTCTTCATCATCTCTTGTGTTCTGCCAGACTGGAACCAATCGGAGACAGAACCTAATTCCATGAACGCAACTTGAACAGGAAGGAAAAGTAGTCTTGCAGCAACTTTAAATGAACCTCATGACTCTCTTTTAAAAAGAAAAAAAAAACAAGTATAAAAGTGCAAAAGGGTCTAGGTTGAAAGCACAGGGGACTGTATATGAAATAATGAGATAGAACAGGAAGAACCAAAGAGTTGTTTTGCTCCACCTTTTCTGTCCAGAGATGGATGAATCCACAGATTTCAGTGGACACTTCTCTCCAGTTTGAGAACAAAGCAAAAATCCCGTCCTAAAACATTATTATAAATGTGATAGGCATCTTTGTGCACATTTTCCCCAAATTGCACATTTCCGACATGTTTTTCCACACTTTATTGGATACTAGATCAGGAGTTCTCAAACTTTTTCAGCTATTGAGCCCTTTTTGAAGCAAAAGGTTTTCACAGAGTCCCAAAATATGTTTAAATATATTATATTATATTATGTTATATTATATTATATTAGTAAGGTAAGGTAAGGTAAAGGTTTTCCCCTGACATTAAGTCCAGTTGTGTCTGACTCTTGAGGTTGGTGCTCATCTCCATTTCTAAGCAAAAGAGCCGGCATTGTTCGTAGACCCCTCCAAGGTCATGTGGCCAGCATGACTGCATGGAGCGTTATATTGTATTATATTATACTAGCCGTCCCCTGCCACGCAATGCTGTGGCCCAGTCTGTGTACATGTGTTTTGTGTATATGTGTGTGTGGTTTTGCGCATGTGTTGTAATGTATGTTTTACTTTTGGTTTTTTAAGTCTGTGTTTTTCAGTGTTTTTGTGAGTGATGGTCACTCGTTGGCCTGATAGGTGTATTTTGTCCAAATTTGGTCAATTCATCCAGTGGTTTTTGAGTTATGTTAATCCCACAAATGAACATTACATTTTTATTTATATAGATTACTAGCCATCCCCTGCCATGCATTGCTGTGGCCCACATAGGGGTTCAGTGTGGGAGGTTTGGCCCAATTCTATCATTGGTGGGGTTCGGAATGCTCTGTGATTGTAGGTGAACTATAAATCCCTGCAACTAGAACTCCCAAATGTCAAGATTCTATTTTCTCCGAACTCCAGCAGTGTTCATATTTGGGCATATTGAGTATTCGTGTAGAGTTTGGTCCACATCCATCATTGTTTGAGTCCACAGTGATCTCTGGATGTAAGTGAACTACAACTCCAAAACCAAAGCACACTGCCCACCAAATCCTTCCAGTATTTTCTGTTGGTCATGGGAGAACTGTGTGCCAAGTTTGGTTCAATTCCCTCATTGGTGAAGTTTAGAATGCTCTTTGATTGTAGGTGAACTATAAATCCCAGCAATTACAACTCCCAAATGACGAAATCAATTTTTTTGAGTGAAGGACATACATTGGGTTGTTAGGTGTATTGTGTCCAAATTTGGTGTCAATTCATCCAGTAGTTTTTGAGTTATGTTAATCCCACAAATGAACATTACATTTTATTTATATAGATTATGTATGTAAATATCAGGCGACATAACTAAGCCAGTATTTCAGTGGAAGACCCCAGGAGCCATCTAGTCCAACCCCCTTCTGCCATGCAGGAAATAGACAACCAAAGCACCCCCAGAGCAGTGGGAGGGAAATGGGGTTTTGAAAGCAAGGAAGGTAAAGGGGAAAGGATTTGGACAATGAAGGTTGGGAGGAAAAAAAGGCTTTTGGGGGCTAGGGAGGTGGGGGAGAAGCAGGAAGGAGGAGAGAAAGCTTGGGGGAGGAGGGGGAGTAGGAGAAGGAGGAGGAGTAGGAGGAGGAGTAGGAGGAGGAAGCGCGGAGCCCCTCGGTACGGTTCATGGAGCCCCAAGGGCTCTGCAGAGCACATCTTGAGAACCGCCCTACTGGATAGACCAATAGATAATATGGACTAATCTGAGACATAAATTTGAGAAGCATTTTTGTTGTGTATTCCTGCCTAGCACTGGGTTGGATTTGATAGTTCTTGTGATGTTTTCCCATTTGATTCCATGAGAATTGACATTCTTCTCCATCTCCAGACAGAGCGCAGCAGTGAAATCCTGAGGCTTTAAAATATCTCTGACTGTTTTCCTTTGTGTTTCCCTCTTAGTTTACCACCTGATTTCATGATGACTGAGGGTTTAGATAAGAGATTCAGTTGTCTCACCTGGGAACAGCTTCAAATCCTGGATCAAGTGCTCACAGAGGTGATCCCCATTCATGGAAGAGGGAATTTTCCAACACTGGAGGTAAAGCCAAAGGACATCATCCGGGTGGTCAAAGAGCAGCTGATCAAGAAGCAGATTGTCATCCGGGACATACGCCTGAACGGCTCCACGGCGAGTCACATCCTCGTTAAGCAAAATGGGACCAGCTACAAGGACCTGGACATCATTTTCGGGGTCGAGCTTCCAAGCGAGCAAGAGTTCCAAGTGGTGAAGGAGTCTGTTTTGAATTGCCTCTTGGACTTCTTACCCAAATGTGTCAACAAGGAGAAGATCACAGCCCAGACCATGAAGGATGCCTATGTCCAGAAGATGGTCAAAGTGTCCACAGATCATGATCGGTGGAGCCTCATCTCCTTGTCAAACAACAGTGGCAAGAACGTGGAACTCAAATTTGTCAACTCTCTTAGACGGCAGTTTGAGTTTAGTGTTGATTCCTTTCAGATTATCCTGGACTCCGTGCTGGATGTTTACAGTGATGGAGACAGCAAATTGTCTGAGGATGCTCACCCATGTGTTATTGCTGAGAGCATGTACGGAGAGTTTGATGAGGCCATGGACCACTTGAAGTACAAACTGATCGCCACAAGGAACCCTGAAGAGATCCGTGGTGGAGGCCTTTTGAAATACAGCAACCTCCTGGTTCGGGATTTTAAACCAGCCGATGAGGCCAAAATCAAATCCTTGGAACGTTACATGTGTTCTCGGTTTTTCATCGACTTCCCCGATGTGGCTGAGCAGCAGCGGAAGATTGAGTCATACCTACGGAACCACTTCATCGGGGAAGAGAAGAGCAAGTACGACTACCTGATGACTCTGCGCGCCGTCGTGAATGAAAGTACGGTCTGCCTCATGGGGCACGAGCGAAGGCAGACGCTGAACATGATCACCATCCTGGCTCTCAAAGTGCTCGGAGAGCAGAATATCCTCCCCAACACAGCCAACGTGACGTGCTACTATCAGCCCGCTCCGTACATCAGCGACAGGAACTTCAACAATTATTATATTGCGCATGGACAGCCCCCCATTATCTACCAGCCCTACTCCTTTCACATACACATGCAAAGTGGCATGGTGTAGTAGACCACAGCGCCTCCTTGCCTTACATCAATGTCTGCCCGTTCTCCCTCCTTAACCCTTTCCCTCTTCTCCCTCTCCGTTATTCTCTTCAAAATAAACCCCGTGTTAAAGCAAATTTTCCTATCACTTTTGATTTTCAGGACATTTTTTTGTGTGTGCGTGTGCCCAAGTGCATGTGTGACGTGGCAAAGCACCTTGGGTGCGTCAGGCACTCATATGTCTCTCAGGCTGCTCTTGAAGTGTTGACTTAACATGTTGGATGAGTTTGATTTAAAACAATTGTGTCTTGAATTCACAACAAGTGTCCTAAAAGTGTTCTTGCATGTCTTTATGTACTTTCTCTCTCTCTTCTGTATTGCAGTAATTCAAAAGGCTAGGCCTCCGCTGGGTGGACGCCACTGACTATAATGTTACAAAATTCGGAAGTTTGTAGTATTCCTTGACAAGACGTGCAAGGGACTATGGGTTGGTTCTGATGTGAAGTCTATATTCCTACCTCTCTTTCCGGTGCTGTGCATTCCTATAGAGTTCAGAAGGTGATAGGCAAAACCCATTTGGATGCAGGGATGTGGGTGAGGTTGTGTGATTTAATCTAGAGCAGGGCTTCTTAAACATGTTCCACTTGGAACCCCTTTTTGCCTGATAGATTTATTATTTTATTTACGTCATTATATGGAGCCCCCGGTGGCACAGTGGGTTAAACCCTTGTGCTGGCAGGACTGAAGACCGACAGGTCACAGGTTCGAATCCGGGGAGAGTGCAGATGAGCTCCCTCTGTCAGCTCCAGCTCCCCATGTGGGGACATGAGAGAAGCCTCCCACAAGGATGGTAAAACATCAAAACATCTGGGCGTTCCCTGGAAAACGTCCTTGCAGACGGCCAATTCTCTCACACCAGAAGCAACTTGCAGTTTCTCAAGTCGCTCCTGACACAAAAGAAAAAAAAAGAAGTCATCTTTATTCCGCTCATTTCAGCCCCAAGGCGACTCAGGGCAGCATACCGAACTGGCACAATTAGATGCCATATACATACACATACATATCTCAGATTATCTTCAATATTTTTTCACTCATGCTTTGTTTGTAGCCTGAAGTGGCTGAACATAACTCTGTTGGCTCTCCCTTTTTCCTGGATTCATATCAATGCCTAAAACAGCCACTAAGTGGCAAGCTTCACACTTGTTTCATTCAGTTAAAGGACCCCAAATAAGGGTGTGACCCCCAGTTTAAGAAGCCTTGTTCTACAGCAGGAGTTCTTGAAGTTCACTCTTACAGGTACTTTGGACTTCAATTCCCAGAAGCCAAAAGTGTCTTTTCCCCTTAGGGATTCTGGGAGATGAAGCTGAAATACCGGAAGGTTCATGCTTTCGGAACCATTGTTCTAGAGCAGTGATTCTCAACCTGTGGGTCTCCAGGTGTTTTGACCTACAGCTCTCAGAAATCCCAGCCAGTTTACCAGCTGTTAGGATTTCTGGGAGTTGGAGGCCAATACATCTGGGGACCCACAGGTTGGGAACCACTGTTCTAGAGGTTCTGAATCAGAGTGGTTCTGTTCCACAAATGATTTTGAAAAGTCCGGATGGCCCCTTTTGTAAATGAAAATATATAGGGCACAATTTGGAAGGTTCTCTATGTATTGTTGAAGGCTTTAATGGTTGGAATCACTGGGTTGATGTAGGTTTTTTGGGCTGTATGACCATGTTCTAGAAGCATTCTCTCCTGATGTTTCGCCTGCATCTATGGAAGGCATCCTCAGAGGTTGTGGGGATGCCTGCCATAGATGCAGGCAAAAGTCAAGAGAGAATTCTTCTAGAACATAGCCATACAGCCCAAAAACACTACAACAACCCAAGCTCTCTATGGCTGGGATCCTGCATGGAGCACCATGTCTGCAAGGCTCCTGACAGGACAAGCATTGGTGTTCTTCTTTGATGGTCATTTCAAGTAGGTGAAAACCTACTGTGTATAACCAATAGAAGTCTAAAATCAATCCCAAAGTCATGGACTAACTTATCTGCAGGTCCAAATTCTGTACCCGGTCAGCATCAGAGCCCTCTTACATTTTTTTCATATCCAAGACTTGTTCACCTTTGAGTTGTATGAATTTCATCTTTAGATGTTGAATGAGTATATCAATTATGTCTGATTGGTATCTTTAGCCACACTGGAGAAATTATCTGCATGTTACTCTCCCACCTGAGAATGCTTGAAATCTGTTGCTTGGAAAAAAATGCAGAGATTTATTTGGAGGATCAATAGGTATTCCATTTTTATGCAGGAAAGGAAATTACATTATGACCCCCATATCCATGAGGGATGCATTCCTGGATGTGCTGCAAAAATGCAAAACCATGAATAATGGTAACCTTATTGGTGGAAGCTCACTATAGACCAAGCATGAGCAATCTTTGGCCCTCCAGGTGTTTTTGACTTCAACTCCCACAATTATGAGAGTTGAAATCCAAAACACCCGGAGGACCAAAGTTTGCCTTGCCTGCTATAGAATCATGCTGGAGTTCCTGGAAAATGTCTAGAAATGACATCTTTCTAACATTTCTAGGTCCTCCAGTGTGATTATGATTAACTTTGGCTCAAATATACCATAGAACTGAACTGGCCTGCAAAATGTCTAGATCAGTGGTTCTCAACCCATGGGCCGTGAGACCTAAAATAAGGTTCTCGACTCCAGATCATTAAATATTGTTTTATGTGGGCAAGCAGGTGGTAACTACTGGATGGCATAGTTTATGTATCAGAAACTAGAGCTGATGGTACTAATATTGGAGAGTGTTCCCTGGTCAAGTAGTCCCTGGTCAAAGTGGTCCCTGGACAAAAAAAGATTGGGAACCATTGTCTAGATCAGGGGTCCTCAACCTTTTTAAACAAAGGGCCAGATCACAGTCCCTCAAACTGTTGGAGGGCCAGATTATAATTTGAACAAAACATGAATTCCTATGCACAATGCACATATCTTATTTGCAGTGCAAAAAACACAAACAATAGAATAATTAAAAGGAAGAACAATTTTAACAAATATAAACTTATTAGAATTTCAATGGAAAGTGTGGGCCTGGTTTTGGCTGATGAGATAGGATTGTTGTTGTTGTGTGCTTTGAAGTCACTTCAGACTTCGGTTGACCCTGAGCGAGGGCCGGATAAATGACCTTGGATGGCCGTATCTGGCCCCCGGGTCTTAGTTTGAGGACCCCTGGTCTAAATAATATGTATTTTTTCAGATGTGGAACTTCAGATCCCAGATTTGTGGATACCTAGGTCATACTATAATATTGAGCCAACTTAACCTGAATGTATACATACATACACCCTTAGAAGAAACACCAGTTAGATCTAAATTTTTTTAATCCATTAAAAAATTGGAAACTGTTTCAACATGTTTAAGTTTTGTTTTTTAAATGGAAAGTCAAGGGATAATGTAGCCAGGAGAATCATTCACTAGCTGTGCCTTGTAGTGACTGTAGAATTATAAAGCTCAAACTATATCTGTGTCATTTTATCTTCGGGAACCCACACATTGTGTTCTTATCTCTGGAGAAACTTTGCACAACTAACAATGGACCTGCTGGTGTTCTCACAGACAAAGTGGGGTTTTTTTCCAGTTTACATTCTGTTTAAGTCCATCTGTGTCATACCAGCAATTTTGGCAATGAACCCTAGAGAAATTAATGGAAACGCTGCAATTGTTGTTAATGGTTACGGAGGTGTATCATGACGCATAGGTGTACAATATTATACTCTATGAAAGACATCCTTATGCAAAAAAACAGTCTCAGGTATATATATTGAAACACTTAATAAGGTCTTGTATTTCTTATACAGAGGCAGCAACTGAACGTTGCCAGAGAGTAACTCTTTGAAATATATGTATATACATGCCTATAGTCAATCGAACCATAGTCTTGTTTCGTAATTTTTTCCTTTCGTAACTAACCTGATTATGTAAATGTTCAAGTAGATCTGGAAACGTTTTCTGGTAATGTTTGATTGTGTTGAAACATAATATACAACCCTCTTACAGGGAATTTCTATGTGCAAACTGCTGCTTGGACAACTTGGGTTTGTAAAACACAATATGGAAACCTCATCTCCAGGTCTTGGCTGCACCTGGGAGCATCACCTGCGAATGCCTCGTTGAATCCATGGTTGTGTTCTTGCGCCGTTCTGAGTGGACTCACAAAAGTGTTTAGTGCATAGTGGCTTCTTTTTAATGAAAGCTCGTGATAGTAGCACGTGTCCATTGCTCTGTCTGGCTGAGTCTATGCAGACTCATTAGGATTGGAGAATTCATGTTCCTTCCTATGTGGTTGGCACCAACTTCCCATATAATTTGTATTGCAAAATATATGGGGAAGGCTACAATGGGGATGGATACAGAACAGGGGCATTTTTAACATCTTCATCTTCTTCCTGAGTTTGTACTATTCTTCCCCATTAATACCTTTTGCTGCCTTAACCACACACTGATGTTGCTTGGCCACATGTATTCTGGTTTGCATCTAAAAATGTTAGCATTATAGTGTTAGCGCAATGTGGTGGCGCAATGGGTTAAACCTTGATGCCAGCTGGACTGCTCACCTGAAGGTTGGGTTGCTGACCTGAAAGGTTGACAGTTCAAACCCACGAGACGGGGTGAGCTCCCATCTGTCAGCTCTAGTTTGCAGGGACAGGAGAGAAACCTCCTAGCAGGATGGTAACGCATCAAGACATCCTCTCGGCAATGTAGATGGCCAATTCTCTCATGCCAGAAGTAACTTGCAGTATGTTCTCAAAGCACTTCTGGCATGATAAAAAAAAGTATTCGGTATTGGGAAAGACCACAGGTGGTGATAGGAAAGGACCCATCAGAGTAGAAAACACTGGGCAAGGTGGACAAATAGCCTGGTTTAGAATGGGCAATGTCCAATGTGAAAGTAGAAAGGGGCCACTATGTGACAAGTACTTATATGAATCCACTCACTATTTCATTGCTATGGAGTATACTCTGCACAGCTTCCGGTTGGTATACCTTAACTATGATTTGGTTCATAGGTCTGGCAGCCCTTTTTGCATTGGGCGGGAGCAGACAGCGGTGCCCCTTCCTTCCAACACCCATATAATTAAATGTGTGCAGAAAGGAATCCACACTTTTTGCTTCTGCATTGGCCCATTGGAAAAAAAACCTTTCTTTCCCTCCTCCCTTTTCCTTATTTTGAAAGGAGTAATCCCATGGATTGAAGCTCTGTAAAGAATGCCTAGCGGTGCGCAATCCGTGTTTTGCATTCATTGTGCACCACAATCAATGCAATGGCCTTCTGCAGAGGCATCTGTGGTGGGCAATGGGAATTCATTGCCAAATGTAGTGAGCCAGCTCTACTGCATTGTCAAAGGCTTCCATGGCCGGAATCACTGGGTTGCTGTGCCTTTTTCGGGTGGTGTGACCATGTTCCAGAAGCATTCTCTCCTGACATTTCACCCACATCTATGGCAGGCATCCTCAGAGATTGAAGGTTCTTTTGGAAAACTAGGCAAGGAGGGGTTTATATATCTGTGGAATGTCCAGGGTGGAAGAAAGCACGCTTGTCTGTACATGTGAATGTTGCAATTTGCCACCTTGATTAACATCTAATAACCTTGCAGTTTTTAGGCCTGGCTTGTTGCTGCCTGGGGAAATCCTTTGTTGGGAGGTGTTAGCTGTCCCTCATTGAGTCTTGTCTGGAATTCCCTGTTTTCTGAGTGTTCCTCTTTGTGTACTGTACTGATTGTAGAGTTTTTTTAATACTGGTAGCCAGATTTTGTTAATTTTCATGGTTTCCTCCTGTCTGTTGAAATCGTCCACATGCTTGTGTTTCCATTTGATGTTGGATGTTTTGTCTTATGTCTATTATAACAGGCTATGCTTTTGATTTAATTTTAGTTTGTTAAGTTATAATTCGTATTTATATGTTGGGTTGTATAAATTTTGTTAGCATGGATGTATTGTTGTTGTATTCAGGCATTGCATGTTTGCCTTTTATGTTTGGAATCTGCCCTGAGTCCCTTTGGGGAGATAGAGCAGAATATATATAAAGAATTATTATTATTATTATTATTATTATTATTATTATTATTATTAGTAGTAGTAGTAGTAGTAGTAGTAGTAGTAGTAGTATTTGAAACACAACAAGATGAGTCCACAGAAGACACTTTGCTGGCTGTTGAATTGGATCACACATCGGACACTTCCCAAGTGTCTAGGACAGTGTGATGTATCGGTGAATAATGCGTGCAGATTCCAGTAAGATGGCCTTCTGCAGCTGGCAATGGTAATTTTGTCAGCGCCGATTGTGTTTAAGTTCAGGCCAAGGTCTTGAGGCACTGCACCACTGGGACCACCTTGACTGGTTTGTGCCAGAGTCTTTGCAGTTCCATCTTTAAATCCTCATATCGTGTCAGCTTTTCCAGTTGTTTCTCTTCAATCCTGCTGTCACCTGGGATTGCGACATCGATGATCCATACTTTGTTTTTTAACACAATTGTGAGGTCAGGAGTATTATGCTCCAAAACTCTGTCTGAATCCAGACGTCCCAGAGGAGTTTAGCGTGTTCATTCTTTGTAACTGTGGTTGTGATCCCACCAGTTCTTTGTCGCAGGCAGATGGTATTTGTGGCACAAGTTCCAATGAATCATCTGAGCAACGGTGTTG